GCCTGCATCCCCCGGGACCCATTCCTTCCCCATAATTAGAAAAAGAAAGCACTCCATTAGTTGGTCCTGGCATAATAACTTACTATAAATATATGAAGACTTATGTACCAGTATCTGCGAAACAGAAATGTAAAACCTTTAAAATGAGATGTTGCTAGGGGGCGAAAAGAGGATTACAACACGCATGCTGTTAAAGCACTTCCAAAAAGTTAAGAGATTTATGTTGACTAATAATTTCTAATTGAAAAAAGCTGCTTGGAAATAATACAGCAATACTCTTTGATGATGCTCGGCTCTTTCTCAAAGTGCCTTTGTCGAAGCACCTCCCTCCCTCCCCTCCTCCCAGCTAATCCCATCAACAGTTCCCAGGTGAAGTATTTTATCAATACCCGTTGGGATCCGAATGCATCTTTAATGTGTTCTTTTCTCAACAGCAGTAAAAGGCTGCACTCCCCCCCATCAAATGCCAAGCAATTTTTCAGAAGCTAACGGGTGTTTTATTGAGTGCAGATTAAAATACTATTCTAAGTGTTAAAATAATTCATTTAAATATAGAGTGTTCAAAATATTTGATAAAATAACCTTGAGAATTTGGCTCCTGTTTTCAAGGAGAGCTTTTAAAAACGAAGCTGGGAGTTTTAATCAAAGTCAGACTCGTCCTTTAACAAGGAATTCAGATTAATGAATTGAACAACACAATCCTGTAGATTTCAAGGAGTTTTTAAGGTTAATTGCATTTGACAATATTATGATTCTATTTCCCCTAGTAGGTATCAATATTGTGGAAACCTGCATTCCATTTTGCAGGACTTGAAATGATTTGCACACAGGGTCCATCAATGGAATCAGATGCCAAGACTCCTGAGGCACAAAAATACCCTCCCGAAGGCTTCGAAAGGTGATAACTAAGAGAATAAAAATATTTCCTATTAATATGAAAGGAGCCAAAAAGAAAACTATGTCATATGCAGGTGCCTCTCTTGGCTGTTTGCATTTTCCCAAAACATGTTTTACACTGGCCATGCCATAATGATTAAGAGAAATTGGGGTTGCAGATATAACAGAAGTTGGTGTCAACTTGTGGTTTGTTCGGAGGAAAACAAACTCCGAGTTTGCTCAATGTAGTTTGCTTCCCTGCTCACACAGCAGTCAAGAAATGGGGCGGGGGCAAAGTGCTCATGAATGCTCAATCATAGTTTACTAACTATGGTTGCATGTTGCATGCAAACCAGGCCACATATGCCAACATCTCCTGCAAAGACTGATTCAGAATGAGTCTTGCAAGCAACAAATAGTTTGTCAGTTACCGTATTTTTTCGCACCATAGGACGCACTTTTCCCCCTCCAAAAATGAAGGGGAAATGTGTGTGCGTCCTATGGTGCGAATGCAGGCTTTCGCTGAAGCCTGGAGAGTGAGAGGGGTGGGTTGCCAGGATGCCGAAGCCTGCGCGCGCTGAGCTCAGCGCGTCCAGGCTTCCCGGACCTCCCCGCAAGCAGCGGGAGCGCTCCCGCTGTTTGCACAGGGTTGCCAGCATGCCGAAGCCTGCGCGCGCTGAGCTCAGCACGTCCAGGCTTCGCGGACCTCCCCGCAAACAGCAAGAGCACTCCCGCTGTTTGCGCAGGGTTGCCAGAATGCCGAAGCCTGCGCGCGCTGAGCTCAGCGCGTCCAGGCTTCGCGGACCTCCCCACAAGCAGCGGGAGCGCTCCCGCTGTTTGCGCAGGGTTGCCAGCATGCCGAAGCCTGCGCGCGCTGAGCTCAGCACGTCCAGGCTTCGCGGACCTCCCCGCAAACAGCAAGAGCACTCCCGCTGTTTGCGCAGGGTTGCCAGAATGCCGAAGCCTGCGCGCGCTGAGCTCAGCGCGTCCAGGCTTCGCGGACCTCCCCGCAAACAGCAGGAGCGCTCCCGCTGTTTGCGCAGGGTTGCCAGCAGGCCGAAGCCTGCGCGCGCTGAGCTCAGCGCGTCCAGGCTTCACGGACCTCCCCACAAGCAGCGGGAGCGCTCCCGCTGTTTGCGCAGGGTTGCCAGCATGCCGAAGCCTGCGCGCGCTGAGCTCAGCGCGTTCAGGCTTCGCGGACCTCCCCGCAAACAGCAGGAGCGCTCCCGCTGTTTGCGCAGGGTTGCCAGCATGCCGAAGCCTGCGCGCGCTGCGCTCAGCGCGTCCAGGCTTCGCGGACCTCCCCGCAAACAGCAGGAGCGCTCCCGCTGTTTGCGCAGGGTTGCCAGCATGCCGAAGCCTGCGCGCGCTGAGCTCAGCGCGTCCAGGCTTCACGGACCTCCCCACAAGCAGCGGGAGGGCTCCCGCTGTTTGCGCAGGGTTGCCAGCATGCCGATGCCTGCGCGCGCTGCGCTCAGCGCGTCCAGGCTTCGCGGACCTCCCCGCAAACAGCGGGAGCGCTCCCGCTGTTTGCGCAGGGTTGCCAGCATGCCGAAGCCTGCGCGCGCTGAGCTCAGCGCGTCCAGGCTTCCCGGACCTCCCCGCAAGCAGCGGGAGCGCTCCCGCTGTTTGCGCAGGGTTGCCAGCATGCCGAAGCCTGCGCGCGCTGAGCTCAGCGCGTCCAGGCTTCGCAGACCTCTCCACAAGCAGCGGGAGCCAGCGCTGGGCTCCCACGGCTTGCAGAGAGCTACCTGTTTGGGGGCTGGGGTTGGGGGAAGCTCGAGCTTCCCCAGCCCGCGCCTGGGGGGGAAATAATTTTTTTCCCTTTATTTCCCCCCCAAAAAACTCGGTGCGCCCTATGGTCCGGTGCGCCCTATGGTGCGAAAAATACGGTACCTCATCATTACCCCAAGCTAATGCTGAATTTACTAATCTATAAAGTGCAATCAGTTGTCAGGTAAGTGACCTGTCTTGGGGTGCCTGTGCTGCCAAGTTCAGCTTGGGATCCTCATCAGAAGCCTTTCTCTAGGTCTTCACCACCACCACTAATCAAACTTATTTTTAAATTAAATTACATTTCTATCCCATCTATCCTCCAACAATCTCAAAGGATGATGAAGGGTTTCCTCCACCTCAATGGAAGGTGAATGGTTTTTATCTCCACAGCCAACCTGTGTCGTAGCTTTCGGTAGAGACATAGTGACTGAACCAAGGTCAGCTTGATGCCTGGCCAGGGATTTGAATCTCCTATGGCCTAGTCAAAGCTTTTACAGTATTCTTTTGAGGTTCTCATGCTCCCAAAGACCCAGAGTAAAACTTAAAATTCTCTATAATTACCACCCAATTGAGGTTATAGAAGTAAAGTCAATGTTTTTAAGTATTGAAAACATAGTCAGGCAATCTCTGTCTCAGTATTCTGGTCACATAGTCCTCTAAGTAAGGACTGTTAAACCACGCTCTCTGCATTTAACCACATTGTATGAATCTAGCTTCCATAATTAAATTTTCTCTTCGGTTTTGCTTGTCAGGTGCCTGCAAATTGCAGGCAGATGTTTTCATCAAATTATTCCTAAGGGGAAGCTTAAACCTGTGCTGCACTATCTATACTAACACAAAAAAGTCCTTCATATGCAGCCGGTTATGTGCTTCATGACAGAATACACTTTCTCATTAACAATCACGAACGCCAAATTCACTTAACTTTTTTTTTTTGGTCAAGCGTCATTTTATTCTTATGGCTGAGGCTGTTTCTTGTTGTTCTCCATGGCTACAGTTGTCATTCCTCGAAAGAGTTGGTTTATGGACTATCAATGGACTAATTAGGGGTGAAAGTAAAAACGGCAGCAACCTAGCAGCTAGAAGAACCTTAGACATCATTCTGCAACCAGTGTCGCGAAACGTGAAAATGGGCAATTGGGGTAGGCAGAACAAGGTGCCAATCCCCCATGAGCCTGCCAAGACCCTTGCCACCGCTTGTACATCTCCATGCTGCCAATTGTTGTGTGGCAGCTCCACTGCAATCTCATTCTTTCAGGGTAAAAGGCCCTGACAACTATGCAGCTGGGTATGGCCCATGGGACTGCATGTTGCCTACAGTGTTAATAGGACTAATGGGACATAACAGCAAGGGGGGGGGGAACTACCCTCTGAGACATACAGGTGTGTGAGTGCTTGCAAATAGTTATCATATATTCCACATGGCCTTTGCACAAGAATGAAATGTGCCTCAAATATTTGCCTAGGGAAAACCTTGCACCCCTATATGAATACGGCTCCACTGGGAGGAAGGGCGTGGTATAAATTAAGTAAACAAACAAACGGCATAGGGAAATTTGAGTAAATAAATTAATGGCATGAGAATGATCTCTAGGGAGAATGATCTAGAGCAGCCTTTCTCAACCTGTGGGTCCCCAGATGTTGTTGAACTACAACTCCCATCACCCCTACCTAGCAAGGCCAGAGCTCAGGAATGATGGGAGTTGTAGTCCAACAACATCTGGCCACCCACAGGTTGAGAACCGCTGATCTAGAGAGTCACAGGTCAATCCGTTGCCACCTTATTATATACACTCCCCCGCTCAGGTGCATGATCATTAAATCAACAACAATGGTCAATTCAGGTACTACCGATAAAATATTTACAGTATACCAAGACATCAGGGGGCTCCCTGACATTCCAAGAAGGAAGCCGTCAAAGAAACCTACCGTCACATATACACTACAAGTGCCTAAATTATGTATGGCAACACAACGAAGAGCTTTAAGGTCGGAAAACAGTTGTACCCCTTCACACAATGAAATTCACTACAACAAGATGCCCACTGTCTTAGATAGCTTTAACAGTGGTTTAGAGAAATTATTAATAGAAGATAATATCACCAATGATTCCAATGTCTCCCCATAAAATAAAGTAAGGCAAGCAATAAGTGCATAGCTCAAGAGAGTTGGGGGGGGGGGATATCATTAATGGAAACCCGTAAGAAATGCCAGAACTGGTTTGCCATTCCAAGGGCTATTTAAAAATTACATATTGGAAATATTTTTTGTAAAAAAAGAAATATAACATTATTTATCCACATACTGCATAAACACTCCTCAAAAAGCAAACAAGTTAAAACAAGTTCTTACCTGCAGTGAGTCATATGACAATCTCTGAACTTTAGCACTGGGAGGAGACTCAACCTCAGGTTTTCTTCAAATACCATAAAATGCTCTAAAAATAAGGAAGGTAGACTGATGTAACCATTTTTTCCTTCAGGTCTCACAGGAGTCAAAAACTGTAGCTCTGGACAGATCTGCCAATAAAGGAAAGAAAGAAAATTATATAATAATCAAAAGCCAAATAAATGTGCGCATGCACATGCGTGCGTGCATGCCCTAAATTGTTTGTGCTCTGAAGGACCTCTTCCTGTATTGCCAGCTAGCCCATGCCTTAAGATCTCAGGGTTAAGCCCTGCTCATAGTTCCATTGAGACCTATAGTTTGTGGTACAATAACAAGAAGCAGAACTTTCTCTGTTATGGAAACCTTGATGAGGAATTCCCTTCCCACAAAGATTCAGTTGCCCCTGTCATAAATCACTCCTAGGTGTCGGCTCAGCACATGCCTGTTTTTTTTTAAAGATCTAATGTGTTTCAGTTGAAAGTTTTTGGACTGATTGTTAGACTGGAATGTCAATTATTTTTGCTTTAATGTTAATGTTTTATGGTTTTTGCATTGATTTATGTATTTTATATTTTGTCAAGCCCCGCCAGAAGGCCCTCGGCGCAGGACTTCAGTGGTCTGGGCAGAAAAAACACACATACAGTGGTACCTCTGGTTACGAACGCTTCAGGTTATGAGCTCCGCTAACCTGGAAGTAGCTGCTCCTGGTTGCAAACTTTGCCCCAGGATGTGAACAGAAATCACGCGCCAGAGATGCGTGCGCAGCAGGAAGCCCCATTAGCGAAAGCGCGCCTCAGGATAAGAACGGTTTCAGCTTAAGAACAGACCTCCGGAACGAATTAAGTTCGTAACCAGAGTTACCACTGTACTTGAGCATTGGCTAGGATGTTAATGGGAGTCAATGTGGGTGACCAGGATTTGAATCTCCACTCAGCCAACTCCCTGAGTGGCCTTAGGCCCAGTCTCTCTGTCTAATCTACACCCTTGTGCAAATTAATTCGCAACCAGAGGTACCACTGTATTTGTGTCATTGGCCTTTTTATACAGACAGTGAAGACCTTCCTGTGCCACAAGGCTTTGAACTGAATTGCAGCTGTTGATTTTATGACGTCCTGTATTGCTTTGTATAGTCTTATATGTGGCTAGTTAATTGTTTCATTACTTCAGTGTTATTGTAATCTCCTTGGCTTATATCCAAAGAACTTTGAGACGAAAATGCATTATAATGGTATCTACAGCAACTGAGTCTATTGAAGTTACACTTTAATGTGAAGGCATGCATTTATATATATACAGTATATAAAAATCAACAAGATACGGATGAGTTCACTCATTCCTATAACGTCACTCATTTAGCAAGAATATAATGGGTAAAAAAAGAATGGAACATCTTGCCATCACTACTAACAAAAAAATAATAATTTCTGTCAGCTTTCCTCGGGGGAACAAGATGTATTTATCAAGATTAATCGAACCTAAAAGCTTGACAAGACATTATGTTGTAAAAATGCAAGTAATGACAACTTTCTCATGCCTCAAATTCAGCTATTCTACTGAAAACCAGTTTCAGACAAGGACCTATTTTACTCTATAATTCTCAGCACTAATAATACATAGAGTAATACAGAAGCACAATGAGAAACTTCTTCCATCTTGCCCAGCCCTTGCAATCCTTCCCCTTTATTGAAAAGTCATCACCACCCTGTCTAGCACCTATGACATTTTCCAATCAACTGCCCAGAAAAACACTGATAGAGGTAAATGAAATTGTGTATTCTCCTTTGCGCTCCATGTTCTGTCTGCAACATCAATTAAAACGAGACATGAAACAATCTGGTAGTTCAGATACCAGTGGCATTTGCTTCTGGCGTCAGATTCCACAGTCCTTTTTTTGTGTGCAAACAAAACTGCACAGTATTTGCAACAGTAGCTGGACAAGAGTGAGAAACACAGTGAAAAGCATAGACCAGACACACAGATAAGAGAGAGAAAACAACTGCCACCATCCTAGACTTAAATTCACTTGGAGTAAAGTCAGCTTTCAAATTTGTTCCAGAAGACTTGTTAACCAGTGAACACCATTGCAAGCTAATCAGACAACATCTTACTTTCATTCATATCCTTAGAAAACACACACACACACACACACACACACACACACCCTTAAAGTCAACACTTACTGTCTTTCAAGCCATCAAGCTGTATATTATGTATGAATTACTGTGATCTCATTTCCTCCTCCCTCAATTGACTTTAGCCATTTCCTCTGACTAGTTCTTACTGTTAAAACACGGAGTACGTATATTTCATTGCCTCTTCGTACTAGAAATCCCTACTTCGCAGACACATTCTCCACCATTGTCATAATTGCTAGGTGATTTAGAAGGACTTTCTACCATCGCTGGCAATCTAGTCTACCCCTAGAGAGAGACTTTTATCTTTAATATTATCTATGCACCTTGCATGCACACAGAAAGGGGCTAGTGAGTGCACAGGACTCATTTGCTCAGCAGTGTATTCTGTTCCCCAAAGTTTCTTTAACTGTCAATTTCCACACTATAGTTGAGCTCTCATGTGACATAGAAGTTGCTTTCAGGACTTTAGCAGAAAGTAGTGGAAGTTTAGCATTCATTTCCAGGTTAACTGCTTCCAGCAAAATCCATTTGGAACCCCATGAGCCCAGAAAATTGTGAGAATACTTTGAAGAGATTTGGGGTGGTATGTCGGCATATAAAGTGATTTCTTGTCGCTATCATGGGTGAATCATGGGGGGGGGACTGAAGAATGCATGTGCAGAAATAGTGGGGGAGTAGCAACATTGTCTGGGACGCGGGTGGCGCTGTGAGTTAAACCACAGAGCCTAGGACTTGCCGATCAGAAGGCTGGCGGTTCGAATCCCCGCGACGGGGTGAGCTCCTGTTGCTCGGTCCCTGCTCCTGCCAACCTAGCAGTTCGAAAGCACGTCAAAGTGCAAGTAGATAAATAGGTACCGCTCTGGCAGGAAGGGAAGGTAAACGGCGTTTCCGTGCGCTGCTCTGGCTCGCCAGAAGTGGCTTAGTCATGCTGGCTACATGACCCGGAAACTGTACGCCAGCTCCCTCGGCCAATAAAGTGAGATGAGCGCGCAACCCCAGACTGGACCTAATGGTGAGGGGTCCCTTTACCTTTACCTTTAGCAACATTGTCTAATGATGTTTGTTGTTGTGTCGCACCATGCCAACTGGTGTGAACAAAGTTTAGCACAACATGCCAATATATCAGTCAAAAAGACACTGCTGCATAACGCAAGAGGCACTGTAGTGTGAAAGGAAATTAGAAAGAGGGACAGTAGCACTAGTAGGATAATCAGGAAAACTATCACAATATATTCCCCATGTCTGAATGCGCCCTGTGTGTGCAAACCTGCCTTTTCTATCAACCAGGAAGTGTTTCCTGCTTGCAACAGGGATTACTCATTCTGCATACACACCACATACTTCAAGACAGAGAATGGAGAAGCTCCACTCCACCCTGAGCTCTCTCTCTGTGCATCAGAAATCCTGCAGAGCTTTCAGTTATGCCCTGTGTCTTCTCTCTCCTTGGTAAAAGTTGTTGTTGTTGTTGTTGTTGTTATAGATGGCAGTGAGACAGGGGGAGTATAAACAAACAAACAAACAAACAAACCATTTTTCTTTATCCCAAGTTCAAGTACTTAGCAAATCTGTTTCGAATAACCCCAGAATTATTTTTTAAAAAACAATTAATTCCTCCATTTTGAAAAATAAAATATTTATGAAGCAAAACATCTGGAAGTTGTTAACAACTGGCTATTACATATTCTTGCTATCTGCTTTTAAAAACGTTGTTGAACCTTCATTGGGTTTCAAGCAGCTGCATTAAGCTGGCTAGCCTCACCTTATAAAATTTCCTAGGAAATCCGTTTTTCTTCAAAATCTTCAATTACCATCTAAATCCCCCAGCGCAAAGCATCAGCGACACAACGCTGGGACCTGAAACGGCCCACTGCAAAACATTTATTTCAAGCACAGCCACCAAATGAGCTTCAATTTACCCTAATAATCGTCAATGGAACCTGAGAAAATAGTTATGTATTTTGTCAGAAGAAGAACGATTTCTCAACATTTGCATAGGCAAGAGAACAGTTGCAGTCAGGCTTGAGGCTCAGCAGGCTTTGTTAGTAGGTGGTAAATGAGAGAGAGAGAGAGAGAGAGAGAGAGAGAGAACGAGCCTCTTACAGAAGGGACACTTAATCTTTGGAAAGAAAGGGAATCAGGATGGTGTACGCTAGGCACCCTGATGGCACAAGATTTATACAGCCAAACTGATGCCTGTCTTAGTGCAAGCAATTTGTTCAGCAGTTTCAGCTGCTCACTGGTGCCTGGGAAAATTAGATGCCTAACAATGAAATATTAAAACTAGATGGCAGCAAGAGTAAAACACGCACGCACAACCTCTTGGTGAGTTTTAGGTTGGAACCATTTTTATTTTTGGCACATATTCTGAAAGAGAAGCCAATGAGACCGGAGGCTCACGATACCATTATGGAACAGCAAGTGAATAATTCCCTCACTCCATAATTGCACAAAGTATTAAGACAGGTGAGTGTTTATTTAGGTGCAAGCATTGCTGTTGTTTGTTTTCCTTGGGGAACCGCGCCATTCATTTTGTGAAACCGCAAAAACATCAGAATCAAGAAGTCAAGAACTGTTCCGTGGAGATCTGCCATTTAAGCTTTCTCCGTCTGATAAGGCTCAGTGGACATGTTGTGCTTAGGGAACTTTTACTACCGCTGTACATATTTCAAATAGTACAACAGAACAACTGGTTGACACACAAAAATCTGGGTCTAGGACAAACATAATGCTACATCGGTACAGCATGACTATTACAAAGAACAATGGTTCCATCTGCCAGCTGATTATCTTAATAGGACTTAATAAGGAGGGAAAGTGTTTTATGAAGCCATTTAGAAGTTGGGAAAGGGTCTAAGAGCCTGTTTTAGCTGCAGCAAGACCCCTCCCTGCAAAAAATAACACTATGGGATGTGGGTTTTTAAAAACTGAGATGAATAAAGATGACTTTTTTTGAATTTTAAGCATAATTTCATTAGGAGCGGCAACAGCACAAGAAA